TTCGGGAAGATACTTTGTGTAGACCTGATCTCTGGCAATGTTGGGCTTCTTCTTGGTGGGTTTCGGATGCAGGTTTTGACAAAGACTTTAGCGGTCCACGGGTTTCTGTGTTTGCAGCGTCGGGCTTGTGTAGTTTTTCGGGATTTCGCACGTAGAGGTTACCGATTACCGGTTCCCAGGTTGAAAGTTTGGGGGGTTTCAGTGCGGACTCGGGGTTGAGAGCCTAACCCGCAATCTGAAGCCTAAGCCCTAGGCCCTGGGATCCGGGTCAGGACTCCACGACTTCGGAGAAGATGGGCTGAGGGATTTGGGTGTAAGGGCACATGAAGTGTGAGACGAGTTCGGGCACTCCGCACCAAGGCGCCTTGGCTGTGTTTTTTGGCCCTTCTGTTGCGGGTTGAGGGCTCCAACCAACCGACTTGTTCTGAAACAGGGAGTGGCTTGGCTTCTCTTGCCACGGCTGTCTGACCCGTCTGCACCAAGTCTGCGGCCAAGGGCTGCTTGGGGTTCATGAGCTTTCGGTTGACGGAATCGAAGAATTGTAGAAAGTCACAACTGTTGGAGGACCGAGTTTACATCATTTGATGATAGCTGGGGTTCAATAACTGCTTGTCCAGTGCTACAGAGGAACTAGAGGTAACCATTGGGGTTTATACGAATTATGGTGACCCAAAGCGGCTAACAGTTTCCTACTCTACTACTACGGAGATAACATAGCTACACATGGCGGTGGAACCCCGCGAAACTTAAGGTCTCTTCGAAGATCCCCCAAGACACTGCCGAAGATCAGAATCCGCAACCCTAAAACCCTCAAATCTTGAGCCTTGAGTCCCGAAACCGAAACCCGAAGACTTACGTCCCTCATACATCAGGAAACAAACGGTCAAAGTGTTCAATGATACAAACCCGTCACCACCCAAGAAGTTGAAAACTTCTGCAAACTGTGCAAGAAGAACTCTTCTAGCACACCTTCAGGTATCCGTGCTAGAAACGCGGATCGTCGCCATTCTAACTTACCCCTTACAGCCTTACAGTAGCAGAGACAAAGGTATCAAAGAAGGCGGGAAGCCGTTGAGCTTCTTGTCAGCAGCACGGGCTTGTTGTTGAAGCCTTTTGGCTCGCTTCTCTTGCTGAGGGTTTCGGCGCTCACACTCGGACAATCCAGGTGAGGCATGTGGTTCGGAGCCTGCTGAGGGTTGAGGGCCATAAATAGAGATAAACCCTTTTCCCTAAACCCGTGTATCCTACCTATGTTTCTTGTCGGGTTGATCGAACCCTACTCTAAGGCCCAAACAGTTCAGGACTTGTCGCTCGGTCCGGCTTGCTGGTTTCGGCCTTTCTCTGCAGCACGTGGTTCCTTCGTTCCTGGTGCAGGATGTGCCGGCCGAGGGCTCAGGGAGTTTTCGGGTTCCCGAAATGGCCTGAACCTTAGGGGCTGGTGGTGGAGGTGGTGTTTGACCCGGCGGTCAAGCTCACTTGGCTGCTCAGTGTGAGGCTCTCCGTTTAAGACTCTCTATTCCGGGGAGCTGGTTGGCGACACTAAGCTATCTGCACGAAAGGGCGATGGTGAACTTCCTTAGACCCTCCAGTGTTTTCAGCATCTGTCGGTGTGGCTAGGAGCTTGTGGTGCGGAAGCGAGATAAGCCAAACAAGCTACAGGTCAGGGTCTGAGTCTCATGTAGGGGCCTTTATAATTGGACTAGGGTTTCGGGGCCCATTGTGTTGCACTTGCTATAATAAGGAACTCCCTTTAAGGCCCCTAGGGTGGTAGGGACTGGAAGCTCTATGCAGAGAGGGGGCGCTTGAAGGACTCTGGCACCTGGTGCTTGTCCAGGTCTTCAACTCTACCAACCACCTGCCGGGCTCAACACGTCCGATCCCGAGGTTAGCATTGGTGTTTCGAAAGCATGTCGTAGCCCGGAAGCTCTGGTCAACTCCAGAGACTCGACTTGTAGCCCAAACTTACAACAGAGCACCTTCTCCTGACTCACTAAGTCACGAACTCGTCTGGGCCTTCAGTGAGATGCCCTCCTTCGTGGACACTCCCTCCTGGCTCAGGAACACGGCTGAAGGCACGGCAAGATGTATAGAAGCAAGCGATTCTGTAAGTATGTAGTATGTAGGTGGGTACTAGTAGCAGGTTGGCAGGTAAGTAGGCAGGCAGGCAGGCACACAGGTAAGGAGGCGTTCAGGTAATTAACGTTTAGAGTCATTTTACTACACGTGGATGGAGTAAATGAGTAACTTTACTACACATGCATGCATCACACACTGACAGTTGAACACGCACGCACGTAACGGCACGTGTGCAGCCTTTGCAATTGAAGATCCTTCCACCTGTCTGAACAACATCTTGAGATGAGCCGGAGGATCTCTGCTCCAAGGCAGAGGATGCTGTAGGCAGAACGCAACCTTAAACACTCCTGCGCTTCACACCACCAGAAACAAAAAGGGGCTAAGTGCGCTGTGCGCACCCCGATTCTTCTTCTAGACTCGCAAACCCGAGCGTCCCTGAACTCCTTCATCAAATCTGCAAGCCGTAGCACCCTACTACACCCCACAAGGAGAACTGAATGACTCCTGTAAGCTTTGATACCCGCAGCCCTTCAATGCCTGTCTCCCGGCCCCTTTCTGGTGTCCTCGACGAATCGCTGGAGAAGGCGCAATGGTGGAGTCCTGAGAGGACGGCACAGCTCACTTCGAGGCTGAGGGTTCTAGATAGATAGATAGGTACGTAGGTAGGTAAGTAGGTCGATAGACAGATAGAGGGTCTGTGCGTGTATGCATGTTTAAGCATATATATATATATATATATCTATATATATATGTATATATATATATATATATATATATATATATATCCAAGTCTGTAGTTGCATAGTTGTAAGTAGTAGTGGTCGTCGTCGTCGTATACAACCAGCAATTACCCCCCCCCCCTAAACCTTAAACTCCCAAACCGTGTACCCTGAAGAGGTATCGGACGTCTGGCTTCCTCTGGGTCTTGGGGCCCCGGTCTCGAGTCCTTCGGAAAAGTTTGCCAAACAAAAACGACCGGTCGAATCTCCCAAGAGGGATCTGTTCGGGCTTTTGGGGCTTTTGGGTGCTGGTTGCCAAAAGTAGTATCGCGTAGACGTTATCATTAGTTTATCAAGTCTGCCAGGTGACACCTTGAATAACAAACTGCTTGACCTTGCAAGGATTGAAAGGATCATATAGCCAACCCCGAGCAGAAGGACCTGCAAAACACGCGGCGGGGAATGGGGAGGGTGTGGAGGGGGGAAACAGGCATATTCAAGCGGGCTTTAAGCAAGATTCTATATATAAGATCACGGCACCTAGGAGATATCTGTTTCAGTAGATACGGAACCAACATCTGGACCCCGTAAGCATTCTTGGCACTGCAACCCATGAAATAAACTTCAGGAGCCCCGGTGATCCAAAGGTTTTAGCGAAACTCCCAATCCTTGACACAGCCTGGGTGTCTCTTGGCCAACTGAGGTCAGAGCGGAAGTCCCTCTGCCAGGAGTGAGGCTGTCTGCAACCAGTGTGGGGCTTTTTTGAAGTCTACGCTCTCACGCTCCGGCTCGCCAGATGAAGATCAACGCGGTTTTAGGTTCAGGAAGTTCAAGTTGAAGAGTCCGGCATGGTTTAAGCCAATAAGTCAGGGTTAGGGATCCAGGGTCTATCGCGGGCTCCAGAGCCTGAAGCCTTCACTTGGGGACTAGGATAAGCGCATCAAGGGGAGGTGGCGGACAGGACCAGGATGTCATGGACAGGAGATGCGGAGTTCACAGCTACCTGCATTGAAAGAGATAACGTGCTTGACTGGGCACTCATAGAACCCAGCAACCGTCCAACAACCAGCGCAGGATTTGGGCCGTTGCAAGGCATGAAAAGGGACTGCTCCTCCTTCGGCATTTATAGCGCTTCTTGGCTACAGTTTGACGGGAATACTTGCAGCCCCTTCCATCCACATGAAAGGTGCAAAATCCAAGCATCTATCTGCTATCTCAACGTGATATCCTCCAGGGGGGCCGGGAAGGGAGGCTTTTACAATCTGCTTTGTAAAGTTCCCATGGGGTCTTAATTAAAGGCTTCTGCATCTCTAGGCATTCGACTCGGCATGGCCTGCTGAGAAATGACAAAGTAGTTGAGAATACCTGGCATCCGGCACACTGCCCAAGTGGGTCGCAGGCTGTGGGCCCCTTCACCATCGTACTAAGACGAAAGGGAAAGTGAAGATTCTCCTAATCGATGTCCTCAGACACTATACTCCATACTGTACTATGCTTACAGCATGGTCCACGTGTTGACCTAGGTCGGCATTGTGAGAGTCCCTATGAAGCCCTTAGAAAGCCTTCGCCCCCAAAGGATAACTTGTGATCTTCTTGCTGGCAAGATAAAGTCACAGGGTCGTTCTTTCACCCTCAAGGAAAGAACGTTTCGGCTTCAGAGTATCCCCTGTTGCCCTACGTTGGGACACTCGGGACGATATGCATCTCTGCACACTAGCCCCTCGACATCGAATCCGAAGTGATGTGGCGATCATCTCCCTAGGGAGCCGGCAGACAGTTTTCTAATGGAGAGCCAGAAAAGCTGGGCCCCTGGCGCGCGAAATGTGAAGACCTGTTCCTATTTCTAATAAGATAAGACCTCTGCTTAAGAGGTTGGTTTCCAGCATAGCTTGGAAGATTCATATCCTGTTTGTCATACTTGACCAAAATCACTATGTTCCTACTTCAACATAAGGAAAGCTACGGCCAATAGGCAGCAGGAAAATTAGTCATACGAAAGAACGGATATACAACCATTTCGAATGAGACGCGCGGAAGCCAAACCAGGATTCGATATGGGAGGCTTGTTGATCGTAGTTCACGGGGTGTTGAAATAAGTTTGCCTGTTCTGATCTTCGGCCGGATCTTCGGCGTCTTTTCATGAAGTTTTTTTGCCCCGGCACTCTCGTGACTTGCCAAAACCTCACCTCCCGGTACCTTAGAGAGTCACCTGCACGTCGGCAGCTGTAATGTCAGTGTAGGTTGCCTTGGGTTCGGTAGCTTCGCCAGGATATGACCATCCTGATCGATGAGCTTCAGCTTGCCATTGAAGCTTGAAGTCGTTGCTTGTATATCTCGTGGGGCGGAAGCGATCCATTTCCTCCAGTTGTCGCATCCTGACGGAACTTCCACTTTGGCCACTGGCTCACCGGAAAGTGTTGTACATGCAATGTGGCCATCGGCTTCTACACAGCTCAAGATGATGTCAGACTCCGACGCGTCAATGGGCAACCTCCACACATCGACTTTGGCAAAAAGACCTGGAGGAGACCGTCCAGCATCGCAGGAATGCCAAAGCTTCATATATGTGTCAGACCTGGGAACTCCCGGTAACGCAGGAATAGAAACAGGGCTCCCACTTCATAGGCTTAGCTTAGGGCTTGGGGCCTAAGTGTGCGGTGTGGAACCTATTCAACCCCTGCAACAAAAAATTGCGAAAAGGGCACTGCAGCTACAAAATCTAGGGACTTGTAGTTGGCAACTTCATCTCGTCGCCAGCGCACGCGAGCACAAGCCTCAGCACCTCCGCGGAAGGAGTCGTCCACGATATTGAAGAGCCTTAGCCGGCTTTCCAACCCCTCCGAAAAGTTAAATTCTGCGAACCTCCCTGCTACAGACAATCAATATCTCCAGAAAGTTGCCGTCCGAAGAGCAGGCAGAAGGCTACCAAGATCAATATAGCCCCCAATATACCTCAGGTTAGAGCTGGCAAGGAGCATCTCCTCAGCCAGGGAAGACGCCTCTTCCGCACTGGCACAGACAGCACGGTATGCACGAACAACCATGTCATATACTGGTGCGATGGCCCTTGAGACGATCAGAAACGTCCAGGATGGATCCTCTCGGGGGCGCTTCGTGGACCATCTTGAAACGCAAGCAACTTCTTGCGCTGTAACTGGCTCATGGCATTCCGGGTCACCCTCTTTCGGCTTTTCCTCTTCTTCTGCCTCGTCCCGGCCGTCATCATCTTCCTCTGGGATGCTACATACCACTTCAGGCTTCGAGGCCTTCTTGCCCAAGGTGAACTTGAGCACCTGGGCAAAGGCCGGTAGATCTGGGCCACCCACTTCCAAGGCCCATTGAGCCCCTCTCTCACCTTCCTCCCCACAAGCCTCCCACAACGACTCGTACTTTGATGGCCCATATTTCCAGATATCTTCACGGTTGAAATCTTCAGGATCTACGGCGGACTGCACCAACTTAAAAAGCAGATCGGCGGCGGCCTCTCGTGCCGGCTCCAAGGAGGAAAACGCCTTTGACATATATCGCACATGTTTCTCATAGGTGGGCGGAGCCACCCATGCCTGTGCAATAAACACAGCAGAAACTGGCGGGGTCGCAGACATGATGGCTCAGGGCTGCAATGATGAATCACCCTTGTAAAAAAGAAGGCTGCAATGATAGCTATATCCCCCAGAACTACCCCATTAGCAGCTGTAATCCGGGGAGTATCTACACCTGCGTCTGAAGCACACCTGCGGCACCTAAAGTTGATTTGCAGGTCCATGAACTGGTTGTTGCACCTTGCGCCGCAGATCACCTCCCCAACTTAAGGGTCCTGCTACAGCCGCGCCTGCTGAAGCTTCACTACAGCCTGCTAGCACATGCTGCCTGGTGGTTGCAGCAGCTGCGGCCATCAAAGCGAAGCGGCTTCTTCTGGATCAAACTTATTGAGGAAAGCATCCCCACATCAATGAAACCACCCTGAAGTAATCTACCATAGGGTTTAGTGGCTGTGCTGTTGCTGCACTACTACCACTACCATCAACCAGCAGTACTACTACTCGCCAAGCCAATCCTAAAACCTGCTGTAAGGCGTGAGTACACGACTGGGAGGCTTGAACACACTAATATGAATGTCCGGGATCCTCACCCCTCAATATTCAATGCATGGATATGTGATGTAGACCCCTAGGCCCTAGGTAACCCCAAAGGAGGACGCTGGCAAGGAGGATTTTGGGTTCCTGAATGAGACGCAGGTTTCGCTCGGGTGTGGTTCTCAGTCTCGATGCGGTCTTCGGCGGGCAATGAGGTACAGACACCACACCAGAAATCCGTTCCCTTTTCCTGCTGCTTTGCAGTTGCGGCATGCTTGAACTGATGCAACCAATCTTCTGTCTCCGAGTCAAGATAGAAGCACGGAGCATGAAAGCGGGTGCCAGTCTCTCATCCACGCACTTGCAGCCGCCCTTTACAAAAGAAAGGCTTAAAGACTGCTTCTGGGATGAGGAGCAGTGGCGTCCAAAATCGTGAAACGAAGCTGCTCGGGGGTCAACTTGTCCGGGCCCTCTTCGCAGTAGGCCCACACATGGACTCAGGCTGCAGCAGTTTTTCGACCTCGTCTCTCTTCAAGAAGCCTCCAGTTGCAAGAGGCAGAGACATGTGTGGAGGCTAGCTAGATGTAACCGATGCAAGCATCCCCTGTCGTTCCTTTCGTTTCTCGTCCGGATAAGCAGAAGCTTCAACTCAACAAATGCCAATGATGTCAGGACACCGAGCTCGACGATGATATCGGCGACCGGGCGCTTGTCCTGAAACATTCCATGACTATGGGCACAGGTGCTTGTGTTTGGCTTATGTATAGCTCTAGAGAGCTTGCATGCGCGCAACTTTTGAGTGACCAAAATCACTCGCAAAAATACCTCCCACGTTCACACTGATTTTCCGTCTACGGGACAAAACAAAACTAGCCTGAAATCAGATTTCATCGGTGTATGCCATGCTCTCTTTATAATGCCCCTAGGGTACCTCAGGCAAATCCTTTCAGGTTGATGATCTCAACAAGTAGAAGTTCTCTTCGTATTATCAGTGTATGGGGCCCATAAATGGGGCGGCTGCTACTACTTGTTAGAGCTCTATGTTGACCCAACTCCCCCACAACACTCCCCAAGGAGTTCAGCCTCAAGACCCCTCCAAGACGCAGTGTCCAAGATTCCGCACTCATCCCAACATTCTCAACCCAACCCAAATCATAATCTAGAAGCGCGAAGCCCTTAAACCCTAAACCCAAGCCTAAACAAAATCAGAAGCCCCCGACTTAAGCAGTCATATTCTACTTGATGTAGATTGAGGTCTGGCTTGAAAGCAACTATGCCTATACATGAAAGCCATGTACCCTGACAGAAACACAACCCGACATGAGCCCACATAGAATCGCACAATCCCCCCCTTCGTCGCCTTTACAGCCATGGCTGCTGCTTCGGTGCACTTCTTGTAGCCGATGTGGGGAAGAAGAGCGGTCACCACGCCCACACTGTTGTAGACCTCTCTTCTTTTTCGGCTCTCGTACTTCGGTTCCAGGGCCCAGGGCTCGCGAGAAATATCGGTAACCGACGGCACTGAGTGCACTCGTCTTAGCAGGCTTGAATTGAAGCCTGAACCATAAAACCAGGGTGTTTCGCAAGAGCAGGACTGTTCATGTCACGTCTGCCGAAGCGACCGGATGGATTGAGGTTGCCCGCAGCTGAAATGGCCCAGATCGCTGCTTCAAACCAAGAGGTAGCTGCCCCCTCTTTGGCGAACAACGAGACTTCAATCAGAAGTTTCCCAACCGGTATCAGAAGTTTCACAACCGGTCATACACCCGAGGCTTCAGGACTTCAGGGCTTTCGCTGGTGGATTTCACTTCGAGTCTGACAGGAGGATGTCCTCCTGCATCAGGCACGAAGCTCCTTGTTAAGCCCAACCTACTTGTCGGGTATCATTGGGAACTAAAGGGTAACGTTTTTGGTTATATAGGGATTATATAGGGACTATACTAAGCTATACTACCCAAAAAGAATTTGAAGGTTCCCTACTCTACTGCTAGCCCAAAGACTTGCTTCTCCCCAGCACTACACTACGACTGCTACACCGCACCCTTGAAGCCAACTGCAGCAAGAGGCACCATGTCCTTGCAGTGCTCCTTGTTGGCAGTGATCCCTTCGATGCAGTGGCTCCGAAGAGTGTTGATGCCTTCAGCGGAGCTATGAAGTCGATGGCCTATGGCATTCATTGAGGGCTTCTAGGATTCTAGGAGTCTGAGGTCGTATCCTCCCGTCCCTTGCAGTAAACGATCGGCCCCGATTTCCTTGCCCTGCCTCGTGCCAGTACTCTCAGAGTGCTGAACAGCTTGTAGATGATTACCTGATGCAATCAAAGGAGCGACAGTGAAGCGAGAGTTTCATCGAAAACTCACCGAACTGAGCATCCACGTGTGTCTCCAGACTTTGGGTGCTGAGGGCTACTGTACGGTCAGCCGTACTGGTATCATTCCTGCTTTGCATTGTTGTTGTTGGGTTTATAGTGCTACATTACTACATTAATTATTGCATTTAGTTTCGTTTGTTGCTTATCGTTCTTGAGATTCTGACGGGGGCTCCACTGGTCACAACAAGCGCGTCAAGATGCACAGAAAGGTTCCGAGGCTGCACCAACCAAGCTAGCAAACTGCCGTGGCAATGCTGCGGCATTGCGTAGATCCACACTCTTGAGCTCGGATAAGAAAAGGTTCGGATTCGTGTGATTCCGTCCAGCCCCTCTCGTATTTGACGCGTAGCTTTCAGTTTCCCAGGCAATTGGCTATATACTAAGCCATAGGCCACAGGCCTTTAACAGAGTCATCAGAAAAGAGGCCGAGAGATATCTCTTTGACTCCGAAACCATGGCAACATCCAGCCTGAGTTCTTCTTTTACACTTGATGCCATCCCCAAATACCAGAGTCGGTTCAGGCTCAGGTGTTAAGGCTCATAGGATCTCCAGGCGTGTAGATCGAAGGGGTTTAGCCAGACTAAGAGTTGAGGCCAAAGCCCGACCGTCGAAGCCCTGTAGTCGAAGACCACTACTTAAAGCGACTATACTACATTAGGCTATACGGGTCTTGGGCTGTTCTATATCATGCTATAAACTCGTAGATTCTTCTGAGCGCCCGAAGCTACAAACTTACCTTTGGTTAGTAGGGACTGGAAGAATGGTTGTAATAGTAGTTATAATTGTACCCCATTCCTCCATTCCCTACTAACCAAAGGCAAGCAAAAGCAGAATTCAGGATCAAAGAGCAGGCTCCATCACGTTCAGCTCCAGCTGCCCAGCCTAGGGCTCGGGATATATATATATATATATATATGTATATGGACAAAATCAGTGTGTGTATATATGTATATATGTTTATATAGTATGTGTATATATATATAGAGATATATATAGATATATACATGTATAGGTACAAGTGTATATACGCACAAGCCCATGAAGCATCTGTGCATGGCGAAACAAAGCACAAGAATAATGCGCACTTCTACACTGTAGACTTGTACCGATTCAGAATGTCAGAGAAAGAGCTGCAACAGCCCTCTTAGAGCGAGCGGATCTTTCCGCCAGCCGAAGATCCCGGATTGGCAAATGCAGGAATTTCATCTGAGTCGATGCGAAACATGTCTCCTTCTGCATCCCCAAAACAGCCGTGAACTGTGCGCAGCCTACCTGCACAAAGCACAAATGAAGCATCCCCTGCAGCACATCCTCATCTTTTCACGAACGAAACGAAACCCAAGTGGCTGAAACCCGCAATACCAAGGAGCCCACCCAAGCTCTCAACGCTACCGAACCGACAAACCCCGAATTCACAGTTCCCAAAGTAAAGAGTCTACATGCAAGAAACCTTTCAATTCTGAAACTCAAAAATCATCTCACATATGATGATTCCAAACATCCCTCGACTTCTCGAAACTCCCGGAATTCTCCGCAATCCATCTTCCAGCACCTCGGCGCCAATGGCCACCGTCACGTCATTCCCCATCGCTTCAAAAGCACACCTTAGTTTCAGCTCGAGGCTGGGAGTGGGCATGATACAAGTGCCTTAATGATTAGAATAGGTTTTGAGGTACATTATACTATAACGATTGTAATTTCAAGGAGCTACCAAAATAGTAGAGGTAATTATTCAGGTCCCGATATTAACGTGTCCGAAAGTCTTGGCATAGGACACCCTTTCAGGGTTGAGGTATATCCTATTGCCTTGAATCGTTACGGAACTGCTTTCGGGTGTATTAGGTGCTAGCACTGGTGAGCTCTTTGTACAGGACTCGGTACCACATGTATGCAAGCCCGGGCACATGTTCATCACCTCTGGAATCACTGGGTTGACCTGCACGGCATGCCGCCACTGATGGTTTGCAGCGCATGAAAACAAAAGTGAACACTGCTCTATGGTGTGTGGGAAATCTGTCTTTCGTGTTGGGTTGGCAATATATGTGCGGAGTATATGATAGAAAGTACATTGCAGGAAGCCTAAGGGCTAAACTGACTAGTTGCTCCGGTCCAACACATAAATTAGTCGGCAAGACTGATGCTGGGCGGCAAGACCCGTCCTGCCCCAGCTGTCTACGGACGACAGCATTTGGTCGACTCCGAGACACCACTAAACACACAGAGAGATTCAAGAAGCCTCTTAAATTTATCAACGGCAACATGTAGCTTAACTCACTCGCTCCCCCCATCAACATTACCGAAACTAAAGTAAGCAAGCGGGAAGCCCAGGACAGCGGTAGCGGGGTGAAATCAATATTTGCACTCGTCAGTGTTTAGGCAGGTCTTGGTCTCTAAAGGGGAGAACCTCCACAGAAGTTGGCATCGGAAGCTTTTGCGACTCACCAAACCTCAACAAAAAATACTGCCTCATACCACCTCCCCCAAATCAAGATCCCCGTCTCTGATGCTGCGGACAACTCGGGCTCCAGCCTTCCCCGGCATGATCGACGAACCTGCCGAGGCTGCAGCAGTAGTAGTCAGTAGGAGTCGTCGGTTTGTACATGGACACGTTTGCTGCGAAACTCTCCGAAGTTGCGGTCCAAAGCTTGAGGGATCCCAGCATTACACTGTACGAATTTCCCGGGCTTCATAGTCCGATGCAGGGAAAAAACCACTTGTGGGAGAAAAGCCCTGCATCCCGGAAACAAAGCGGTAGAGTACAGGAGGCCACGGGAGCAAGACCGGCCGGTTTGTTGCTTCATCCTCGTTGTCGCGATTGCTGTCGTGCCGGTTGCTAATCAGATTGCGGGAAACAAGCACATATGATTGCTAGGAAATCAGATGAAGTACTCTGAAGTCCTAACCCCAGTCAATGTCAACACCGATGCGAGCCATAGCGCTGTTGGTAGAAAGACTTCACCGGCAAGAGTCTTGGTATAGGGATCTGAATAAGTAGAATAAGGTCGTGGGGCATTGTAGTCTCTAGGTATCTCAATGATTAGAGTGTGGTTTTTGGGGCATATGATGGTTTTTTGGGATCGTACTACATGGCATAGGGTTGAGGAGCATATTCTGACTGTACTACTATATTCCTGATCATAGTCATAAGGAACAACCTATACTGAACTTAGAACCCTAGCAACAAATTATAATTTTAGCTGTTTCTTAGGGACTATAATAACCAAAAATTAAAAAAAAACTAAGTACCCCTAAGCAAGGAGGAATAGCACGAGTTTCGGCCTGGAGCCTTTGGCGGCAAGTTGATCTCCGCGAGTCCACAGCGGGGGCCTGCCACTTCGGGCTTTGCTTTGACTCTGGGCCGTGCGGGTCTAGGAGTTTTTTTTTTTTAAGTGCAGTAGCCCCTTTCTCCACAGCAGTAGAGTCAAAAGGAGTTTAGAGACTTAGGGTTTCTTTGGGTCTAAGGGCATTTAGGGTTGTGCAGGAAGTAAGTCGAAAGTGGGTTTACGGGTGTAGAAGTGTAGAAGCTTCGAGAGCTATAGGGGTCCGGGGTTATAGACATCTTCTAGAGTTGAGCAGGGTCCTCACCATACGGAACTTTTGTTGAGGGGAGCAACCCACATCGCGAGGAGCATGTATGATGTCGGGAAATCCTTGCCGAAAGATGCTGCTAAATTTGCTCCACCTTGGGAGGCTCAGTGTACACGGCTCATTGTAGAGTTGAGGGTTTACCTCGACCCTAAACGTGGCTTCTGCTGGGATCATCCCTAAGCATAAAACAGGAAGACGACAAAGTGCCATATTTCACCGTCTGGGGAGGGTCAAATCCGAATCCGGGTGATATGGGGGCCTTAATAATTGGAATAGGGCTTTGGGGCAAATGCTACTGTAGTTATAATAAGGAACCCCCAAACCATTATAGTATAGGTAATTTGTAAGGCCCCTGTACCAACCATCTGGCCTGAGGACAAGAGCCGCAAATCGTTGCAGATCTTGGAAACCTTGGCCTCGACTTGCAGTGGGGGGAAATCCCTGCACAATCTGTGAGTTTCCGAAAAGGGGGGGGGACACCTTACTTTGGAGCCCTTATATTATAGTAAGTACCCTACCACTTTGGGTACTTTATTGGGGTCACCCTTTTTTTGGAAACCCCCATCTCAGACATGCAGAAGCCGGATCCGTGCAAGCGAAGGATGAACCAGTCAATAGATTTGCATGGCTTCTTGGCTTGAGTCAAATCATTTCATGTACAGCATATGTACAGCTATGACCCCATACTCGGGTGTGAGGGAGCTATGCAAAGAAACGAAGTCAAATCGATTCGCCTGGATTTCACGGCAAGAGTGGCACACGACGAATACCGATGGACTTACAGCAGTGCTGTGCTGATTCACAACGAGTTCGTAAATAACAGGCTTACCTGGTCACTGAAGAGCCTTTGTCGCTGCAGCTCGACACAACATGCAACCCAACCTGGCCCTCTTCTCCTAACACATGAAATGTGGAAACTCACAGGTCCTCATCTTATTAGTGCAGAGCGATGTTTCTAGTGGCTCACCTGGTGCAGCTCTTCACATTCATGGCATTGCCAACTTGGACTAGAGTAGCTTTGCAGCTTCCTGTCATCTTCCTCCTGCAGTGAGGTACCCTGTTTCCCTAAACCGCGACATGCAAACCTGATACCGCAAAAGACAGAAGAAGGACCGCTCCGAGTTGCTCTTCGTGCTCTCCTTTCTCAAATACTCTACTGCTACCACCAAGCCAAGCACCTTACCGGTAAACCTGACGCAGAATATCCTTCATAAATTCAAGTGCTCCTCCCTGCCAATACTCTATCAACATTGGCCGATTACATTGACCATGTCTTCCCACGTCCTATCGGGCACCCCAGTAACTCCGGAGGTAAGGACGGGACTGCGATGCGGCGCAGCATTCCAGAGAAGAAGATCATGTCACCTCCATTTCATGGCAAAGCCCCCCCCCCTCCTTCCCAGCTCTATCTCCCTTCTTCCGCCGGGCATGAGGGGTTGGTTAGACCCCCCGGCCACTAGGGCCCCCCCATATTTTGTGGGGACTTTGGAGGAGTGTGAAAGTGGTTGTGTTTTCCCTCTCTGTCTGACTCTTTGTCTCTCCCTCTTCCGCCAAGCAAGTGCAGGCTGCCCCTCTTCACCCAACACCGTCTCCACATCCTGATATTTAAAGGCCTGCTTTTTGAGAACTATATATACTGGCCTGAGACACCTAAGCTGTAGTTGGGCTGCGGACACTCAGTCAAATTTCCATAGTCGCACTTGTTTAATGCTGGAACATCGCGAGCTAACGCTCTCTCTGTCCCCCTCTATTTCGGGCTTGGCCGGCCACTCCGAAATAGGCGTGCAACTTGGTGAAGGCCAGACAACCCTCACAAGAAGAAGATATTCAATCGGTCAAAGCAGCGTCTGTCCCTTCGACGCCTAAACCCATAGGCAAATTTGTTTACGCGGAGGTTCTTACGGTAAGCTCGCTTCCTCTCAGTGCTCATCATACAAAGCCAGTGCCGGCATCATAAGCAACAAGAACAAATCACGAGGCACGACCATGCCATGCTGTTCAACGTATATGTCCGAATTGGCACGTGCCATTTAAACGTGATGGCAGCAAGCAACCAGATGCGATGCTCATAGTTAAAAAAGACTAAGCGCAAGAATAAGAACACTAATAAGTTATAATAACGAGACCAGCGGTAGCAAACACAAGACACGACAATCTTAACGACCATGATCATCGCAGTATGACAACCGGCTCTCTCGGCTCCGGTGGGGTGCCTACGCTGCTGGAGGCTTCTATGAGATCGTCTGCCAAAATCATGGGGAAGCCAGTGACGGATCGCAGCTCCTGTCCGTGGCCGGAGGGTTTGGGGATTTAGGGCTTTCTGGCTTAAGGCTTATAGGGGTTTAGTCTGGCTAGACTTGAGTCCGGTAGAACAAGGGGTTTAGACAAGTTTAGACGCTTCAGAGTTTTGGGGTTTAGGTTTGTTCACTCAGAGCCCCAAACACAGGTGAACCCCTTAAGCCACCCCTGCAGACCCTGCTTCTTGTGGGCCTGAACTGCGATCTGCGAGAAGTGGGGATCGGCGGCGATGCCGGTACCGATGGCAGTGCCGCCCAAGTTCGAGGTACAGAACCTGACTTCCGGTGTTGGATGCCCGGAACATCCCGGAACTGCATGGGCGGTGGATGGACTACTTCCGGTTTGGTTTAGGTTAGGGGGATCGAGACTTCTCAGATCGTCTTCTAATTCAGGTCGAGGCATGGCGTTGCGAATGTGAAGTGCCACTCCAGTCTTGTGCGGCCAAATCGCCTGTTCGTAGCGCTGCTCCTCGGCGACAGAGAGACAGAAGCTTTATGACGCTTTAACGTTCTAGCAAGCAGAGCCCTTTGACTGAACAGTCTCGAATCGCTCGCCGAAGTGTCAACGCCTCGATGTCGCTAGCCACGCTGTTCCCATAGGCTTGAAACTCCTGGCGCGGAGCGATGCAACAGCACGTCACTCAGCGAGCCATGTGCAAGCCTAAATTGAGAGCCGCTGGGGTCAACTGACATCCTTCCATGTCCATGTTGCAACTGTACCACAACCGCAGCTCATGTGGGAGAACTGTTGGGTTGTCGATCGGTGGTTGTGGCTTGGGCTTTGTTGAGATGCACAAGTTATCATGGGGTTGTTGCCACTTCGACCACCGCTTTAAAAGAACTCTTAAAACCACTTGCAGAATTTGGTAAGTGCCCATGAACATCCGTCGCAAGCTCGAGGATGTCCATCCGTACCCCCAAATCCGAATAGGGACCAGATTAAAGAATTCGGACTTGAACTACCAAAGATAGGATGCATCCAAAGAAGCCAAGGGGCCGGGGAGCTTCTAGCACATGGGGTCATAATTATGGGGTGCACAGCCTCGGATCTTATCCCTTCAGCCCATCTTCGGAGACCTTGACATCGGTTCCAATGTTCGATGGCCCCTCACCCAGCCGCCTGTCCCAGCGTCATGGGAACTGCGTCCTGAAGCTGCGTACGGCCCATCCTCAGCAACTTCTTTGGATCCTTCAGTTGGGGTCACTGTGGCTTGAGCCTTCGATGTTGCATAAGGTTGCCGACAGATCGAGTAGGCCGGGAGTAGGCGTGCGTTCTTGGCATTTGTCTTGAAATGCAGTTTGCTTTGCCACAGCATGCTGCTCGAAGAACGCCAGCATCGGAACTACCCTGAACCCCTTCTACACTTAGGCTGGGCATATGCCAGGGGACTGGAACTCTAAACCCGGAAACCCGTACAAACCCCAAAATCCAAAACCGTTTACTAATTAGAATAGGGTTTTGGGGCCCCGTGTACTCTACTTCTGTGATAAGAAGGAACCAGCAAAGATAGTATTGATAATTCTCGAGGCCCCTGTATTACCTGCCGCACCGAGCATCTTCACGACGTCGGAGAACTCCTTGGCCTGAGGGAGTAGGTGGGGCCTTAACAACTAGACTAGGGTTGGGGGATATATTAATTATACTAGAATTACAATAAGGAACCTCTGAAATAGTGTAGGTATTTTTTGGGGCCGCTAGAATATGTGGGGCTGTTGTCCTCAAACCCGGGAGGGGGCGAGGGGGAGGGTCTCGCTGCAAGGTACCTGCGCCAAGAATATGATGTGCCCCGTGATCCCCTTTCGGGTCGCTTAATGAGACAGGAGAATTGGAACTTGAGGATCCAATCACCTGGTCATGATATACTCCCATAGATGCTGACCTCGACAGTTTACTTACCGTCATGCTCCCCTCAAGCCGCCCGAAATCCTGAAACCTCCCGGCCTTGTCAAAGAATGCTTTGCTGAGATTCTTGATGGCAGTCAACAGCTCGGAATGCATGAGGATGCATGCGATTTTCGCCGAAGTGGGATACCTCCGTGTGTTGGGAATCGAAAAAGGCTATACAGGGCTCATGACAGTCGGAAATGCCGAACACTTCTTGTCATGCAGCCTGTCCATATTGTCTGCAGCTACTGAAAAAGGACACAGAAAATGCAAAACCACAAGCAGCACAGCCTGCTGCGTCCCCTAAACCCTTTAAGTTGAACCCAAAACTGTTCGCCCACTCTCTTGACTACCAAGACTCTTCCATACTCTTCCTCAGGGTACCTTAACATGATTATACTGTATTCTATAACATGCCCCCCCAAACCCGGTCTAATTATATGGCGCCTTTATTTGAGTCCGCGGGTTTACGGACCTTATGATCGAAGGTCTTGGGAAAAAGGGTTCGGAAATGGTCGCAAAAGTAGTTGAACAGAACAAGATACAGCAGAACATAATGTAACCCAACAGAAATTACAGTGTTTCGTAATTGGTGCAAACCGTCTAGTATGTTGTGATTGATCATACGTTTTTGTGCCGGTAGAAGGTGAGGGGCGAGTCATTGGTGGACTGGCCCTTGTTGACGTCGTCGTTCGGGCTGCAGAACTCGTATTGACCACGCTCCTGGCGCCCAATGAAGCAAAGAGGTCGCTGCCGGGAGATTCTCCCTCCGACATGTATCCGAAAACCCGGTTCGAATTCTCAAGGCCCCTACATAAAACCTTACAAAGCACTTGCAAGACTAGTCATTTTCAGGCCCCTGCAATTTTGACGAGTCAAAAATTCCAACAAGGTCGATTATGGGCGTCCACTGCGGCGCCTTCCCGAGCAACTCGAGGGCTCTGTTTGCAATGACCTTCTTGCAAAGGGCGCTTGCAAGGGGTTGACGGCTTCAGGGCTTGAAAGCAAGGATTTCAGAGCTGCGGTTTAACCGGAGGGTTCAGGGTTTAGGGATCTTTAGGAGGGAGGGTCCATTGCAAACAAAAGAACCAAAGACTCGACGAAATTCATTCGCGCATCTTCATCTTTTGGGCGTAAGTACGTGTCGAGGAGCCCGGCCCGTTGCTTTTGATTCGAGGCAAGTCTGGCGAACTGCGATTGCGTAGAGTGCAAAGCTTGATGCCCAAGTTTTCGGCATGTTCTGGCACCCGCCTCGTTGGCATTCATGTTGGTTGATGTTCCCGCGCCACCTGCAATCAGTCTTCTTGCAGCACGAACCGAACAGGCCACTGGGAAGCGGCTGTGTGGCCGATGATACAGCAATAGCCGAGTACCTAGCTTTGGATCAGAAACATCATCGTCAACCCACGGCGCGGCGCAGGAAGAAAGGTCTTGAATTGCATTCACGGCCTGGCAACATCAATGAAGAAACCAGCCGTTCATGATCATCTTCTTTTCAATATGATCAACATCTTGGCAATCGCTATCACTACCACCGAACTCACCATCATTATCGCCAACATCACTGTAACATCATCACCATCATCATCGAGGCCCGCATCATCGCAAGTCTCTCCAGCATCACCATCATCATCTAGGTCAACATCACCAGCGCAACTAACATCACTATAATCTTCTTCGTCAAAATTTTTAGTCCCCCGCAACGCTGTCACCTCAGCTTTCCCCGGGTGCTCTGCACAAACTATGGGTCAATGGCTTTGGCTGTCGCCGCTTGAGATGTATGGGGTCTAGTGCGTTCACTAGGGTGTAGTTGACAACACGGCCACAAAACCCCGCCCTGGATCATGTCCACGAGGAAGTTTTCCCGCATCTCCGTTCCTTTGTTCTCCCCGTTGTCGGTGTCGTACGGATCCTCACAATGCTACGGGTGCCAGTTCTGGGATTGCAAAGTTGCACTATTGCGCCCATCATGGTAAAGGCAGCGGCAGCAATCTCTAAACTGCATGTACTGACCTGGAGAATTTACCGTATCGTCCCTTTCGCTGCACTTGAAGGACCAGGGCGCTTAGCAGGAAGCTTTTGTCTTGAACATGAGACGCCACAAACATATAAAAGCCTGATAAATTTGAGGTTCTGGGGGCTTCAGACCACAAGTATCTAAAGGTTTAAGGAACTCGGACCAATTCCAAGGGAGCCTTCATCTCCCGTCTCATACCAGGGCGGATTAAACACCCTTCAGAGTATGCTTCTTAACCCCCTAACTTAAATTGAAACCCCCTCTCGCGTCAAATATTACAATACATACTTCTACAAGTTTTGAAGCTCGAAGAAATCAAGCACCCCTATGAGTGTAAACAAGCCCAAGCAAGGCTCCCGAGCCAAAGCGGCCAAGACACAATGAGCTCATGGCAAGCACGGCAGATCGCATCCTGCATGGAATCAAACAAGGGGGCCTTAATAACTAGAATAGGGTTTGGGAGTATGTTATGATGCTAGAGTAATGGAATAATGATGTAGTATATTACGGTGAATAGTTATTCAGCTTCTAGGATAGGGTTTAGCTGTTTAAACTGTCGGAACTACTGTAGGGTTTACGCTCTAACACTGGGACTTGCCCTGTGAAATCCATGGTTCGCATTCCTCTCGAGACAGGGCTGACATGACAATGGAGGAAGGCAATAGGCCAGGGATTCAAAGTTTAGGGGTTTGGGGCTACGAGTCACACCACTAGCTGAAACGGCTCAAAGCTCGAATTCCCTGTTCTTGCGTGAAGAAAAAATCACCATGACCTGTGCTGTAGGGGATCTGTTAAGGTATAGTATGGGGAACTTCATTTTACGGCTTTCTGGACAGACAAGTCGGGGCTCGGGCGTGGCTTGGGTTGTTCACATACTTATCTACATAGGGTTGGTCTGACATAGGGTTGGTCTGAATTGGGTTCAGGGACTTTGGACACATGCATGGGCAAAAAGCGGTTACTACATCCGAAACCCTCATCGAATTATTGAGACACCTGTACATCCAACCCTTACAAACTCCAATTGAACCCTTACCAAACTAACCCTAAACGCAAAACCCCCGAACCCTTCTAAACACTAAATCAGCCTTCTTTGCCATGTCTAGCAAGCCAAGCTTGTAGTTCGCCTGTGCGCAAGCCTTCCTGCAGGGAATGTGCTCCAGGTTGTAGGGCTCAGGGATGAGGAGTTATGATCTAGGTCTCTCAGCACAGACTACAGATGAGGCTGTGGTTGTACGGCAATTCGCATTAAGCTAACGGTCCTGGGATTTTGTGTGTGTAAGTTTCATATCGGTTCTTCAGGCTTTGCGGCCAAGCTCTGGTTTTTTTGTCTGACTTCTTTCGTCTTCTAGACAAGCCCACCTTGACCCTGCGGAAATCCGGCCAAACTTAGGATTAAGACAGACCACTTGAGAATCCCTAAGCCCCGTCTTGACCATGGCGAAGGCAACGATGAACTCTGGGAAATTCCGCAGCCGGATACCCGTGATGTTGTAGCACTCCTCAGCTGCATGCAGTCTCGGAGCCTGAAAGATTTCAGGATAATGAGGCCTGGGTGACATACTGAACTACACCCTACACCGTCTACACCCCAAACCCATATAACTTCATACAACGCGGAGGCAGTCTATGGAGCCTTCAGGCTCATACCTCATAGGGACAAGTAGAGGATTCCAAGGCTCAATGCCATGTACTTGTGGCTTCCTGTCTCCCTCATGACAGGCCCCCCAAGCATCTCGATCTTTTGTACAGCTGCCAAGTATAGATATAGATCTTCCAGTGACACGAACATTGTCGCTAGGTCCTTCCAATGTGGCCCAACCTGTTACCAAATCTACAACAACCCTGTTGTGGTACTTGCGGCCGAAGGACGAGCGCTCGAAGGGTCTGGACGCCTCGGCTTCCGGACAAGGCTTTTGTCAAGGTGCGTAGGACTTTCATGGAGGTTTCGGAAAAAAGGGTACCCTAATATAGTACCCCAAATAGTGGGATCCTGATTATAAGGAGCACAAAATAAGGTACCCCTAATTTCCGGAAACTCCCTCATAAGTATAACTGTTCATGCAAAGGAGCTGGGAGGGGGTTGATGGTTCGGGGGCTCGGAACCTTAAATTGATCGGAGCTGCCGTAGTAAGCACTCTTGGGCACCTCTTTGGTTCCAAGGAGGTCCTGCAAAGGATGCGCCACAATGTTTAGCAGCCCTATACGGGCATGCAAGGTCACTGAGAATCTTTTTTTGCTGGAAGGGTCAGAACTGAACGGGGGGGTTTTAACATGACGTGAGACTGGGGGCCCTCGGAGTAGTAGCCGCAATAGCTTATCACGCGCCTCGCACACGAGAACACTCCGAACGCAAAGACCTGTATTGGACCTTCGAACCCCTCATAGAACCCTTGTAAAATCCGGCGTCTGACATCTTGAAGGCCTTCTCGGTACGCGTCCCGTCCGTCATGTTCACCACACCTCCGTGCCAGACTCGATGCAAGGGAGGGCTTCGACTCTCACGTCTTGCACAAGGCAGGCAAGGCCACGTGCAAGGGCGGTCTCGGGTTTGGGGTTGAGTGGGGCAGCTGCCGAGCAATTAGTCTTCCAGGACACTTCATGCGATGCTTCGAATAAGACTGCCCGTAGGCGTGCTGATTTGCATCTGCTGTGCGGATCTGGATGAACGGACAGTCCAACTTCAACATCGAAATGGCTTTCGCAGAGCTCCGAGCCACATTAACACTGTCATCGACGTATGCGTATTGCTGTGCTAACCAAGGGGCTGGGCAGCTGCACCAAGGGTGTGAAAGCATCGTCAAAGCTGCCTCGTCGATCTCGCCCCATCGCGGCCCAGAGAGGGAAGGCAAAACAAGGAACACCTCTACTGACTCATGCAAGAATCAACCAGCCCCTCCTGGACGGCATGTGTGAAGATGTCCCGCCATGGCGGAAGGTGGGAAGGTATTGTTTCGAAGCACGAGTGTCGACAAAAGCTGCTGCAAGCCAGGCAGCTATCCAGGAAGATTTAGACTGGTCATGAAACGTCATCCAGACAAAAAAGCTGGACAGCAGCTGGATCACATGTAGCTGCCCTCAAGGCTCTTGATGACAAGCACAACGCTTGTCGATGCCTTCGAGCACCATGCGTCCGGAACCCCGAAACCAAGAAACAAAGCAACAATCACATCAAGACACAGACCAAAACGAGAGATTGCGATGCAGAAAACCGTAATTAGGCAGCTGAGGCAGAAGAAGGAAAAACGTCCGAACCTTTATAGGGTTTATAGGGTTCAGGTTTCGGAGTTTTTGACAGTCACACTCGGACAAAGCCTGGCAAGGGCTGCAGGGTTTGGGATTTCGGGGTGTCCATCGACTATTGCCGGGGGCACTCAAACCACCATCTTCCTCCGGATGTGAGCCAAAGAGGCGGCCGGCCGTGTAGGGGACCTGCACAAGAGCCACCCTCCCAAGCCCGACAGTCGGGCCCAAAAAAGAACACATAAGCAAATACTATTTTAAAGATAGAGATGTCCCATATTTATATAACTGCCCTTACAACCGTGTTGGGTCCCTAAGACAGGTGCGTTGTGAAGTGTTTGGTCAGACCCGGCGCGGGGAAGCAATTGATAGCAATGGCTAACCCTAAACCCGACGCAAACCCACCCAAACCCAACTCCTCTCTGAGTTCGCTGTTCCATGGATACGAAGTTGAAGAATATGGGAAGGGGCATGCTGCATGCTTTCTGCTGGCTCCCTCCCAAGCATGTAAACTAGACCCTAAAACCACACCCTAAACTGGAAGCAACGGCGAGTGAGGGGGCACTTATCAAAACCCTTGTATTTATGCCGAATAAATAATTGGAATACGGTCTCGTGGGGCATCACATATCCTATAGCCTTTTTGTGATTTTTCCGACCCCTTTATCAGCAAGACCTGGCAGTTGAAGATGAGCACGCGAGGTACTGCCCAAGCGGTGCTCCACCTTCGCGCTCTCTGCAGGCAAGGAGCCAGGGGCCCCAGAGATCTTGTCGGGTTTATAGGGGAATCTAAGAATCCAAGGGTGTGTTGGGTTTAATTAAGTACCGGAAGCTGACGGGCTTTAATATTTAAGGCTCAGCGGCTCCAGCATCCTAAGCCTAAGCCCGATAAACCCTACAAGACCCAAACTCTGACAACTGTAATGTAGGCATTGAGACTTTCAGGATGTAGGCGTGCATGGGTTTTTACAATGCAGAAATGACTGTTGTTGTCCGTGAGTGCTCGGGAAGTAGCCCCACTTCTTGTCTTTCTTTGCCAGAGCCTACACCTCAAACCTGCAGGTGTCAATTTGGCCGACGGCAGAGCGCTCTTACCTGCTTCAAAAATCTGGAGCTTTAGGACGGATGTGCTCACTCGGACTGCGTAGGTGAGGCAGGTTCACTTTACTGTTTGCGAGACATGCTCTCAATCGTCACACACAGAACTATGAAAATAAAGGCCTTTCAAACCAATCCAACCCCAAAGCGAGACACATCCGAGAAGCCGGCAAAACTCTGGCCTACTCCTGAACCTCGAACATGCAACGGGAGAATGCCGGGGTTGCAACATGTTGGAACCCTCGCTGGTGTTTTGCCAGTCGCTATTTGTGCTTATACCTATGTGTATTTACTCGCCTTATAACTTGATATAGTTGATTTTGTGTACTTAAACTTATGTTGCACGAGTCTGAAGCCAAACACATTCAGCCATTAAGGATTGCAGGCGTGAAGCCAGAGAGGGGAGAGAGACATGCGAGAGTTGAATGGTTCTGTGTGTATGTTTGTGTGTCTCTACCCCTAGGCCCCATAGCAGTTCCTTTTTGGGATTACCTTCTAGGATTCTATACATGAGCCACAAAAAGGAACTACTTTGTGGCCTATGGGTAAAGTGCAAGATTCCGAAGACATCAGGGCAGAGAGAGGGAGGAAGCCGGGAAAGAGCTCCTCCTCAGCATCTTGGGCACCGGACTCCACTGCGCCAGGCAGATCCGGCGGTAAGGCCACGTCTGAGAAGCGTTCGATGATGCCTCTTCAAAACCCTCGAAAACTCTCCAGTGTTGCAAGAGCTGTCGAATCTGTCGACCGGGTTGTAGGAAGAGACCGAAGCACGTACCGGGTGGTGCAGTGCGCGCGCAGTCTGCCATGATACATTCGTCGTGCATGAGGCCTTGAACTCACCGTCTCCCACAACCACACTTTGAAAGCCCTGTCTAGGGGCCCAAAAAGGCACATAAGCATAAGCATTTTGCGGGGATATCCCTACCTTATGGGCTTCCTGTTAAAGGGGGTTTATATGGGACATCCCTATCCTAATTTTTGCTTATGTGCTTTTTTGGGGCCCTACTGTCATGCCGAAATCATGCCCAGCGGCAGTCGATCCTCTTGTGGTCGCGCCTTGTCAAGGACTATTGATGTCTTCAACCAAGATCCCAAAGCCTCGAGACCCTCAAGCACACCCCAAAGCCGTGACTCCTTCTTGTGATGGGTGTAGTGTAGTCACTACCAGTACCTTCGGACTCGTCCAGAGACCAGGAACCACCGCCGGTGGAAGGATCGGAATCCAGGCTCTCAGCAGAGATTCAGCTTCAGCTACATCCATGAAGCCGGTCGTGATATCGAAATCTTCGATTTGGATCCCAAAGCTTGCATTTTAACGAAAGTAAGTTTGAGTGCGCGGAGGCACGCAATCGTGAACGCTGAGACGCGACATCTTCACTCATTGCTGAATCCCTGCTCACTGGCTCGCGTGCCGAAAACCCTCAATACCGATGCAAAAGCACACTGTCTGAGAGAAGAAAAGAAGCGACTCCTAGTCAGAGCCGCATGTTCCCTCTCTGGTTCCAGAGGGTCAAGGCCTTTGCTTCGGAAAAAACGGACGTGTGTGTGCTGGCCTTTGTCTTCAAGACCGTAAGACCTACCTCAAATCAAAAGCCAGGCACCCCCACAATTCGGATATATAACCCCCCGTCTGCGAACAGGCGAGACACACAATGTCCATCCCGACGCACTGGTACAAAGCTGGTTGAGAAGCCACCTGAAGCAAGTCAGGATGCGCACAAAACGTTTGCAGGACTTGCGGCTCGGGGTCCGGAATGTGCTGTAGATATGGGTTGTGTAGAGCATCAGCACATGGCCAACAATAATGCTTGATGCCCCGCCTTCTCACGTGTCTGCTTGTAGCCGACACTGCGCACCTGCCAATGTATCTGCCATGACAGCAATTCTGGCAAAGACTAGAAATGGCGAAATAGCAGCCGTTGTTAATGATGTTGCTAATGATGATGGCGGATGGTGAGAGGGAGACTGAACATGATGATGGGTATTCAACATAACCACGATCATGACCATATTTGTGTTTGCGAGCCTGACAAAAAAGACAGTAGAAAGTGAGACACAAGGAAGAGGAACGCAGTCAGCGAATCATCGGGACAGCAACGCGAAAACCTCTGATCTACCTGGTGGAGCCCATGAAATATTAAACTCAACCGTGATGAACGAGCTCTGTGGCTGAACATTCTCACAATCCCGCGCGTCGGCATGATAAGTCTGGTATTTCGTCTAGTCGTCTGCCTTTCTGACCATGTAGTTCTGTCTTCCCAAGCAAATTATTACGGGATGCTTTACCGATTGCACGTCCCGCTCCCGCCGGATGGAGGACTAAACCCTAAACCCTTTTTGAAGCCGTGCTGAGGCCAAGGCTTAAACTCGGAGCCTATGAACCCTAAAGCCCAATGCAGTTGGGAGACATCGAAGACACAGGCATCACATTGGAGCCAGTATGGTTGAACCTTGGGGCTTTGGGATTCCCCGACTTGGGGCTGCAGCATAGGATCCGGCACACCCCAAATCCTAAACCCTGAACCCGAAGCCCTGTCAACACCAGACCCCAAACCAGAAACCCTAAACTTCGAGTTTGGGATTTGGTGAGGAGTCGGGGTTTGTATGCTGTTCAGATGGATGTTCCCAACTGCTCATGGGAACAGCAGTGCCCCACTCCATGCACACTCCTCGCAAGAATGAATGCTTGCATGTATATACGTATGTATATATATATATATATATACACATACGTCTTTCTATATATATATATATATGTACACATGTGTATACATACATACATACATACCTGGAGCCTCCCTTCACCTAGAAAATGGTAGGCGGATCTAAAAACTGTGCGTTTCAGGAAAAACTCAGCGTTTGATTTCTTGCTACAGCAAAGACTCGGATCTAATTGTATTTGTCCTGCTTGTTGTGTCCTGTTCGAATCTTTCATGAAGAAAGCAATGGTCTTTCGTAAGCTGGTAAGAACTTGTGATTCAACTCTTTTATTAAACATGTTCAAATCACCTCTCGTTTCTGCTGATGAAACAGGCCGTGGCCCTTCGTTAAGATGTAGTGGATTTAATACTCACATTGGCTGGTCTATGGTGGAGCAGGCTGGGCTGCTGCATGTTAGGGGTCAGGTGCCCACGTGTTACCGAACCTGGTTCTGGACGGGCAGTGCGTCTAGTTCTGTTTCCAATTAGTTAACTTTTGCAACGGGGTGTTGACACGGTCTTTCAGATGCTGGGGGACTGGCTTCGCTCGTTGGCAACTCTTATGCATTGACAGTGCGGGATTTCGTCCTGCAAACGTACAAAAATCAGTCTTCTAGCACATCCGCTTTTCATCGTTTCCCCTGATTACTAATAACCTCAACACTTGCTCGGCAATGGAATTTACCGTTTCGGTAGAAGGAATTAGATTAGTTTTGACAAGACCAGCATTCTGCCGTATCATTGTTACTACGTCAGGGGCCACTATATGACAAAAAGGGAAATCTACGG